TGATACGAAATCGTCTGCAGACATGCCATTTGTGTGCATGACATCCACATGACATCCACATGACATTCCACGACATATAGTAAACCATTTGAACCAGAGCCATCATTGGTGCAGGAAACATCAGCATTGGGATGATTGTTTCCTGATAAATAACGGTTCACTCCCATGAGGGAGGTTGTTTTTAGCCTAGTGGTTATAGCAGTGTATGAAATAAGGCCCGCCCAAGACGGTCTAGATTTCTGACGGACGGTCTAAATTTACAGCAAGCCAGCCCGATGGTCTGGTAACAAATTTAGATGTTCCATACATTTGAGTAAATTCACCATATTTGGTCTGGTTAAATCCATTTTGGGCTGGTAACATTTTGAGGTTACCAGCCCTGATGTCTGGCTGGATTTTTGGCTTATTTCATACACTGGTTATAGCGTTCGCTCGTCACGCTGAAGATCCGGGTTTGATTCCTCACATGGGTAAAATGTGTGAAACCCATTTCTGGTGTCCCCTGCTGTGATATTGCTGGAATATTGCTAAATGCGGTGTAAAACCCAACTCACTCACTCATGACTAAAGGAATGAAGCCTGGTGATGTCCTAACGAGTATATTGTAGACGTAACAGCATACAGTATAATCCTTGTGGAGTTGGCTCTGTTATTGTATAGGGGACAGTGGGGTAGCCGAGCGGCTAAAGCGTTGGCTTGTCACGCTGAAGATCCGGGTTTGATTCCTCACATGGGTACAGTGTGTGAAACCCATTTCTGGTGTCCTCTGCTGTGATATTGCTGGAATATTGCTAAAAGCAGCGTAAAACTATACTCACTCACTCACTATTATAGTATAGGATGCTCACTCACTCATGATGGACTCACTCACTCATCACTATTGTCTCACTCATGCTCACTCACTCACTATTACTGAACTCACTCATTATTGTCACCACACTATTATCAGTATAGGATGCTTTACAATCAGGACTGAACTGCACTCATTATTGTCCATGGTCGGGTCAGAGGGCAATACAATCAGGATGACATCACTGTGCCACATTGTGTCAGAGGGCAATACAATCAGGATGACATCACTGTGCCACATTGTGTCAGAGGGCAATACAATCAGGATGACATCACTGTGCCACATTGTGTCAGAGGGCAATACAATCAGGATGACATCACAGTGTGCCACATTGTGTCAGAGGGCAATACAATCAGGATGACATCACAGTGTGCCACATTGTGTCAGAGGGCAATACAATCAGGATGACATCACTGTGCCACATTGTGTCAGAGGGCAATACAATCAGGATGACATCACTGTGCCTCATTGTGTCTCATCTTTCAAGATGATAACGCACATGCTCATGATGCCAGAATAGTGACTGAATTCTTCCAACAGCAAAACACCCATGTCCTGCCTTGGCCAACACTCAGCCCTGGCCCTTCCTCTGTGGAACATGTCTATGACATCATTGGTAGACATGTATGCCACCATCGAAATCCACCTGTCAAGGGATATGGTGCAGCTCTTGCTGCAAAATGGCAATTCTTGAATTTAGGACATAGTGCACCACCGTCTCATCACACAAACCACTAGAACTCACCAGATCTGATCGCATACTTGCAGCAGATATGATCATATTCCATTTGCCAATACTATATGGATGATTCACACTATCCCCTACTTTCTTGTCAAAGTATATATTGGAGTGTCCAACGGATCTAAAAAGACATCCTGGTCAGTCTGTAATCTTTAATACAGATGAGGAAATATTGTCAAACAATATGTGAAATGTGGCACTTCGTTATTGGTCAAATCTTTATGCATATGAATTGGAATTCTGCTTTAATTAACAAAAGCAAAACAAGAGAATATGGCACAGAAGCTTTGCTCATATCATTGTCATACTTTCAATTCCTTTCGACTGATTCACACACCTGAACTAGAAATTAACTATACCATTGAAACTGTGCCATCTGTTTCAAATTTACATCTATTCATAAAGATTCAGAGTGACAAAAAAATATCGACAAGATGTTACGCCAAGATGGATGACTTCAACTTTCCACTAGTCATCTTTTCCTGTATGTCGAGCTGTGACAGTCTTTGCATGTCACAGCATTGATGTACAGTTAACATGCTCCAACGCGATTTCACTAATCCTGCTCTAATGTTGCTTGATTAGTTGCAACATCATAGTCTTCAATAAGGGTTTCAAGGTTTTGTAATAATACACAAGGACATTTCTGAGGGGGCTGGTTCGAATTTCCAATGGGACTCAACCTAACAGAAGTACTAAAATCTGTACTTTAGTGAGGAAGTGTACTTCCAAATATAACATATGTTACAAGGACATTTCCATTGTGACGCATCAAGGACCAAATTGCAGTTCCATATGTGGCCTTGTACTACATGATCCCAATGCACTTGTCTTTGCATGTGTGGCATGGGTAGCCTGGATATGCTCACCTTTTCATGGTATCATCACTATTGGACAGTGACTCATAAACACATGATGTACATATAGTCTGAAGTGTAAAATTGATTCTGCTTATAACAGATATTTCTTATGATAGTGGAAATAGTTTTGTTGCTATATTTAGATGTGGTAATAAAGGGCCGCTAGTTATATATGAATTTGTATGATTTGTATATTTTATAACTTATCGAACGTTTACTGTTAATCTATGTCATCTTGTCACAACTGCAGCACAATAGTAATAATAAGAAAGGCAGGATGCTTCATGGATGACAATTTCTTCATTATATGATGATGACAACTTCTTTGTTATAGTATGATGACAACCCATATATTATATTATGATGACAACCCATATATTATTTTATGATGACAACTTCTACATATTATGACAATTTCTTCATTATATTATGATGACAACCCATATATTATATTATGATGACAACCCCCTATATTATATATGATGACAACTTCTTATATATTATGACACATTTCATGATGACAACCCCTATATATATGATGATATATGATGACAACCCATATATTATATTATGATGACAACTTCTACATATTATGACAATTTCTTCATTATATTATGATGACAACCCATATATTATATTATGATGATACATATTATATTATATGATGATGATGACAACCCCTATATTATATATTATGATGAACATATTATATTATTATTGATGACTCCTATATATTATACATATTATATTATTTCTTCATTATATTATGATGACAACCCATATATTATATTATGATGACAACCCATTATATTATATTATGATGACAACTCCTTTATTATATTCTGATGACAACTACCAAAACACGTTAAAATATGGTACTTGTTGGTCCCTGCCTGGCGCCCGGCATTAATGGGTACAACAAGGACTGGTCGTCTCAGAGTCAGTATAATGTGTCTGAGTGGGGTATCCATGCTAGTGGGCTAGCACTATTAAACCAGCTTCAGTCTGGGCTAGTACAAGCAGCTGCAGATACACACACACACGCATGCACGTCGTCATGTGAGCGAAATATTCTCAAGCACGACGTTGAATCCAATTTCACCTCACCTCTGATGACAACTCCTTTATTATATTATGATGCAATGTTTTGCATCATAAACATTGCATCATAATATAATAAAGTCCTGCTTTTCTTATTACTCATCAACTTATAAAATGCCAATCAAACAGATAAGATATTGATTGGGTCTTTTCTTCTTCCACAGTCAGCTACGGAGTGAGATTCACAACCTGAGACTTCAGAGTGTTATCCGAGATGGTGATGACCTCAACAAGATCTGTGCTCGATGTCACAAACCATTCGGGTTCTTCTTCAACACAGGTGACATCTGCTCCCAGTGCAAGTTCCGAGTGTGTGGCGTCTGCCGTGAGAGTCTGTTGACAGGCAAATGGCTCTGCACTCTCTGCTACAAACAAGTGTAAGTACCAGTGAGCATGTAATTCATGAACCACCACTTTCGTTGTCATACACTGGTGGCAACAGTGATTACTTTCATCACCAGATCAGCTGAGTCTGTGATACACTAACGTCAAAATACGAAGATGAGAGAGCGAGTCTTATCTGCCATGACAGGATTGATACAAGTCACACCCTTATAAGGAATAGGTGTAAGGCAATTGCTGGTTTGATTTATATTACATTGGTTTATGTTTGGTTGATCATATTTGTTTCCCGTGATGTTAGAACTTGGTTAATTACAGGATAAGTGTCATGTCGGGGATACACACTTTGGTCAAATTTTAAACAGCTTATTCAGGAAAAGTGTAAAACAAAGTATGTATCGCTGACTGGGGCATGATGGCTGACTGAGGCAAGTCAGCAATAGATGTGAAGATGGCATTATATACTAACTTGGGTTGCAGTCAATCCCACAATTTGAATCCCTATGGGGAGACAAGCATTGGGTTCTGGGGACCCATAGGGAGACCAGCATGAGTCACTGGAAGCCTGATCTGAGGAAGAATCTCCACAGGTCCACAAGGAAAGATATCAGAAATTACAACAAATTCTGAAGTAGTCATTTTTCCAAACATTTGGGGATTTTCCAGGCCTAATCCAGAGATATTGGCTTGATGTCTGTGATAGCGTGATAATGACAGTATGCATTTTAAAGCCATGTTGGTCATCATCAGAAGAATTTTCTTCACAAAATTCAATCCATTAATTTAGTCTTTAATTTTTTGTACTTTAAATTGTTGCATATTGATGTTTTCATTTGACAAACAGCTTCACTTGTGGGGAATCATTAGGAACAATTCACTGTTCTAGATTATATATTGCGGAAATTAGATTCCATATAACAGCCCTTTGGAAAACCTAGATACATCCCCTGAGTAGTATTTATTTCATATGCCAGCTGATGGATTCAATATCACCATTTGAAATAACTGTTAAATAATTTTTAATCTTAGCTGCATATATTCAATGAATTCGTGAAATACTCTTCCAGGCAACTGAAAGGATTAACAGGGGAGTGGATTCAAGACAACATGAATAATGAAAAGCGAAGACTATCGCAGAGTGGAGCCAACTTGGTGAAGGCTTCACTCAGACATAGTTTGTCCAATGGTAAGTGGCACCATCCAACTCTTAGTGTAGGAACAAGCTTGGTCTCATTGACTGTCAATTGTAGCTGAACCAGCTTAGATGAACAAACTGACTGGAATATTTAATCAGGACCCTATTCCCTGGACATCACTAGGTTGCACAAAATGTATATCCACTCTCTGCTTCTTGGCAGCATCTACATATGGCTTTATCACAGCTTGCACTTGCTCACATGCTTCATGTTTCAGCCGACCTGTGACACAGGTCAATCATCACTCAACACTAGCTTGATGTTAGAGTTATACGAAGCTGTAGATAGGAGTGTATTTGTTCTGTTATCATTTACTACAGCTTATTAGAGCTGAAGGGGTCACTGTCACCACAGGTACTACAGATATGTACCCCTGCCTTATTAGGCAGATATCATTTAGAGACTAGCCGTAGTGTCGTGATCTTTAAGGTATTTTTGTTTAGATAACTGCATGTGGAGCCTGTGTTACCCTAATCTCACAGGACACAGGTTTTCAGTTTGATTTTTTAAATAAAGACAATTCAACCATGGCAAGTGTTCTTATTTATCAAAGCATCATCATTTTTCACAATATTTACAAGAAGTAATTATCAATTACTCAATGAGGTTAAGATATTCTGGAAACTTTGTGATAAAAGGACATCCCAGCACTCCCTAGTTTCATCAGTTCTGGCGCGTAGCCTGTTTAAGGTGGAAAAAATGTTTTAGATTAGGGAAGCCCCAAGAATGGCAGAAGGGAGAATACTGTTAATATAGTGTTCCATTCCTCTAATGATATTTTGGATTATATCTTTTTGGAATATCTCTTGTATACTAAGAACAGTGTTCTATAAAAAATATTTCTTATTTATCAAAGAGCAGATGGTATTGGAAAAAAATTATTGCAATTTTGTTGCAAGTGTCAATTGTCCGAGACACATTAGCTTAATATCTAACCTTCTGTGGAAAGTATTTAAATGTGAATGTGCTGAATCACATGCTCTGTCATCAGCTTCCAATACAAACCTGTATGGGGCGTGTCCTAAACTACTATCACAGCTGTGAGTGACAAATGATTTTAATCGTTGATATGTAGGCTTGGCTGTAGTGTCTATCTGCTATATCCATTATGTGATGCTTAGCTCTAGGTCAGAATGGGGTCAGCCCCCAAAAACGAGAAATCAACAGGTGTGGCTGTTTCTGCTTTTCCTACTCAAAAACAACTTTGCATATAATATTTAGTGTGTATAACCATCTTTGATCAAGACCATTGTGAACAATTAAAACAAAAAGATAAACAATTAAAATAAAAAAGTAAGTCTGTAACTAACTTTTAATTACTAACATTTTGTTAGGGTATGTTAAATCACCTGGTACCGGTGGCCATACACAAAGTGTGCTTGTCAGGAATTAATCTCATGAAGCACCTGAGGCTTGAGCAGGTAAAGCTCTGTAAAGCCCTCAGGAAATCTGCAGTTGAAGTACCCGTGAAAGTCAAGGTTAGAATTGGTCTTCAGCAACCCATGCTTGTCATAAGAGGCGACTAATACGATTGGGTGGTCAGGCTCACTGACTTGGTTGACACATGTCATCGTATCCCAGTTGTGTAGATTGATGCTCATGGTCTTGATCACTGGATTGCCTGGTCCAGACACAATTATTTACATACCCCCAGCATATAGCTGAAGTACTGCTAAGTGTGGCATTAAACAACAAACAGACTGAAGTTGAGGTGGGCCAATTGTAATTGCCCCATGTGACGAACACAGGGAACCTGTATTAAATCAGTATGTCAGATTATTTTGTTTGCATGACAAACTATTTCACCTGGTATTTTTCACATTACCTGCTTTACCAATTATTTTTGTATTTCGATTTTGATTTCATCAAGCATATGAGTATCAAAATCTGGTGTGTTCACTTTACTTGCACTTCAATTATTTTCTTTTAAATACTTTATTTTATCTATATATTATCATAACATATTACTGATCATTATCATTTGTCTGCAGTTACATGTGGTTCACCTGACATTCTAATGAAGTAATAGTACATTTATGTGTAATGCAGGCAGTTATAGAGGCATTCTAATGCTGACATATGTTTTACCTGGCAGTTGTTTTTGAATGGGATGCAAATGATTTTGGATGAGATGCATAATGTTTTAAATGAAATGCATGTTTTTAAATGGGATACAAAATGTTTTGAATGGGATACATAGTGTTTTGAATGGGATGCATATGTTTTGTTGGAAATAGAAACTAATATTATGTTGTGTCGTGAAGCAGTTTCTGTTGTTGATGTGTGTTTATGTCGAAGGCTAGACAGTATCATATACTTCATACTGAAATATGTATGACCTGACAACCACAGGTTTTATAAACCTCGGTATGAACCCATATGTTGATAAATGACAAATATCACATATAATTGGCTCCAGCATGCACTGGGACAAGGTGCGGACCTGATGAGAAATGCTCCTGGTTTTCATCAAAGTGATAAACATCTTGCATCACTTTCCTCCCTCACTAAACTGACCAGCTGTGTTATAACCGGAATACTGTTTAAAGTTGTGTTTGTCCTGCTCAGTCACTGTCTTGCATGGAGCTGTGATTGGTGGATTGAACACAACGTTAGAGTGACAGTACAAATAGCCATATCTTTATTTGGCATGTTATGAACTGTATTGTTTCACTGACATAAGATCTTGTGCTCTGGGGGCTGTGGGGGTAGCCTAATGGTTAAAGCGTTGGCTAGTCACGCCGAAGACCCGGGTTCGAATCCCCACATGGGCACAATGTGTGAAGCCCATTTCTGGTGTCCCCACCGTGATGTTGCTGGAAAATTGCTAAAAGCGGCGTAAAACCAAACTCAGTCAGTCAGTCAGTCAGTCTTGTGCTCTGCTTTGCTTGAAGTTCCATTGTAACCAACATGGGAGGTTGTGTCTGATAAACTTCTCATCAAATCTTAATGAACAAAATGTGGGGTTTTCTATAATGATTTAGTTTTATTTCTTTAACATCACTGATGATAGACAAATTTGTATTTGTATGAATTGAAATCCATACCAGACCAAATAATTTCTTTGATCATATCCCTTGTGATGTATATACTGTTCCTCTCATAAACATCAAGGTTATATAACATATCTAGAAACAACAGGGTATACCGTATACCGGGAAATTTTCGAGGTATCTAATTTTCGAGGTTTTCGAGGTTAGAAACGCAACCTCGAAAATATTATATCCACAAATTTTTCCGAACTTCGTACCTTTGGGCTAGATTTCCTATCGATAAGCATTTCAACTGCTGGCAAACAATGACTTCCTGACATGCGCATTAACTCTGTAATGCCTGTCATGCCAACAACCACGCTATTAGACTCATTTGTCTCGTCAAAATGTAACGACATCGACTGAAACAAACTTTTATTCGTGCGATGGCACGTTTGAGTCAAGCTACTTACATGTATAAACTGTCGTAAACAAAAGAGTTCAACTTCTCAGCTTTCTAACAACAACATAGTTTCAGCAGAGACCCATGCATACATACGTGTTTTGTGGGCCATTTATCATAACAAAGGATCAAACGTTTGTTTTCATTACTATTATTGCTGTCATGGACTGGTATACCAGTCAGACAGCAGTTATCACTGGCTACTGGGAGTTTTGCCGATAGCTCAGTGAGTATTGGTCCGTTAAGTGATGTTTCTGGCCACTTTCTTCTAACCTCGAAATTAACATTGTCTAAAATATTTACATATTACATATTTTAGGTCCCCAAACCTCGAAATTTAAATCACCTCGAAAGCTCTGGGGGTCTCAAACCTCGAAATTTTAATACCTTGAAAATTTCCCGGTATACGGTATAACATATCTAGAAACAACAGGGTTTTCAGCATCTATAGCATAGAGAAACAACAGGGTATATAGCATATCCAGAAACAACAAGACATATGATATATCCAGAAAGAAGGTGTATAATATAGACAGAAACAACAAGACATGTGATATATCCAGAAAGAAGGTGTATAATATAGACAGAAACAACAAGACATATGATATATCCAGAAAGAAGGTGTATAATATAGACAGAAACAACAAGACATATGATATATCCAGAAAGAAGGTGTATACTATAGACAGAAACAACAAGACATATGATATATCCAGAAAGAAGGTGTATAATATACCGGGTAGACAGAAACAACAAGACATATGATATATCCAGAAAGAAGGTGTATAATATGGACAGAAACAACAAGACATGTGATATATCCAGAAAGAAGATGTATAATATAGACAGAAACAACAAGACATGTGATATATCCAGAAAGAAGGTGTATAATGTAGACAGAAACAACAAGACATGTGATATATCCAGAAAGATGGTGTATAATATAGACAGAAACAACAAGACATATGATATATCCAGAAAGAAGGTGTATAATATCGACAGAAACAACACGACATATGATATATCCAGAAAGAAGGTGTATAATATAGACAGAAACAACAAGACATGTGATATATCCAGAAAGAAGGTGTATACTATAGACAGAAACAACAAGACATATGATATATCCAGAAAGAAGGTGTATAATATACCGGGTAGACAGAAACAACAAGACATATGATATATCCAGAAAGAAGGTGTATAATATGGACAGAAACAACAAGACATGTGATATATCCAGAAAGAAGATGTATAATATAGACAGAAACAACAAGACATGTGATATATCCAGAAAGAAGGTGTATAATGTAGACAGAAACAACAAGACATGTGATATATCCAGAAAGATGGTGTATAATATAGACAGAAACAACAAGACATATGATATATCCAGAAAGAAGGTGTATAATATAGACAGAAACAACAAGACATATGATATATCCAGAAAGAAGGTGTATAATGTAGACAGAAACAACAAGACATGTGATATTTCCAGAAAGATGGTGTATAATATAGACAGAAACAACAAGACATGTGATATATCCAGAAAGAAGGT